CCAGCACTTTGGGAGGACAAGGTGAGTGGATTGCCTGAGCCCGTGGATTCAAGACTCACCCAGGCAACTTGTAGGACCTCGTCTCTATAATAAATAAAAATCAGTCAGGCATAGTGGTGCATGCCTATAGTTCCAGCTACTTGGAAGTCTGAGGCAGAAGGATCGCTGGAGCCCAGGAGGTTGCCAGGAGTATGAGGCTGCAGTGGCCGGGAGAGCGAGGCTGCGGTGTCTCGGAACGCTCCACTGCACTTCAGCTGGTGGCAGAGTGAGACTCCGACTCAAAAAGAAAAAAGAAAAAAATTAGTGGAACATGTTAATACTGTGTCTGTTGGTCATTGCCTTACTAAGCTATGGTGTGGCCATGTGCTCTTTGAGCTATGACCGGGCCATGTTTTCTGGCTTTGGTCCCCTCCCCTACCTTGGGGAGGTGAATCTCCTCTTTCTCTCTCTCTCTAATTATTTTCTAAATAAACTATGTTATCCAATCTAAAAAAAAAAAAATACTGTGTCTCTTACCTTTGCACCTGGGCAGCTGGCAGGCCCCTGTGGTGGCTCTTTCCCATGGCAAGGGGCAGGCAGGGGGTCCATCAGGGACGACTCTGGGCTGAGCACAAGCTGGAGAGCAGCCCCCTCTGTCCCAAGCTCAGCAGTACCAGGGGGCACATGCAGGGAACAGGAAACTCAGGGGATTCCAGGTATGAAGCCAACAGAGGTAACAGAAATGGGTGTCACCAGAGGGACGTCAGGCTGGGTTAGCCCACTGTCCAGAGGCTTCCCCAGAAAACAACATCTCAGCCAGGCTAAAGCCAGAGCCATTCCTGCCACAGCCTGCCAAAGTCACCACCTCACCCACCACAGCGTCGATCTTGGGTCTGATGTGGCTCCCATGTCTTGTCCCAAGCCAGGCCAGATGAAAATGCATGGAGTAGGCAGCACCCAGGCCAGCTGGGACTGTGGCCCGCCTGGCCCCACCTATGCAGAGCTCAGGGATGGGCAGCAGCTCCCAGAGCACTCAGCCTAGCGAGGTGGGCCACGGGGGTCTTAGAAGCCGCCTCATCTAGGTGTGTCCCAGACACACCGGGGCTCTGGAGTTCAGCCTCTCCCCCCCGCCCACCCCCCTACCCCTGCCATGCTCTGGCTTCAAGGAGGGCAGGACACTTGCTGCTGGGACCACTAGAATTGTCTTTCCCGGACACCAGATCTGGAGGAAGACACTCCATGGAAGCGCCAGGGCTGCCTCTACCCCACTGGCATCACAGGGTGCCTGGCTGAGCACCCAGTGCCATCTGCACTCCGGATAGCACCACGTGTATTGGGATGTTTTCATCTGGAAAGCAAGCCCATTTGAAAAGCGTTCGTGGCCAAGCTTGCCGTTCACTGGGAGCAACCCCCACCCGCGATGAGAGTCACCTGCAAGACCCACAGGCACTTGCAGCCACTCCCACCATCATCTAGGGTCCATCACCAGCCAGGGAGGAGGCAGCAAGGCTGAGCCCCTTCCCAAAGTGAAATCTGGGAACCAGGAAGGCGAGGGACCCTGTGGCAGATCCAGGGAGGCCAGAGCGCCAGAGCCAGAACACGCTGAGCACAGGCGCCCTCCTGGAGGAGGCTGAGTGACAGTGGCTGGGACCCAGGGTCTGCTCAGAAGGCGGAACTGGGCACACTGCCAAGTTCAAGGTGCTGGCAGACAACGGGCTGCTGCTGGCCATAGCAGGCATGGGAGTAGTGCAGAATTGAGAGGGCCCAGAGAAAGCCCCATGATCAGTCATCAATCCCGCCAGCCTAAGCCTCACACTTGGGCTCCAGCCACACTCAGGGAGCGGCAGAGCAGAGAGTCAGTGATTAACTCCGTGGTGGGTAACACCATCAAGAGCATCCCCTCTGGACACCCAAACATATGTGTGTGCTTTTTCCTTTGTCCTCCTGGAATGCATTTAACCTTGCAGAGATAGAAGCAGACCCCAAAAATGAAAAATGAAGGAAGAGAAGGAAGCAGGTTGAAGCCATAACATTGCCCCAGAGCTTCCCAGTAGCCAGAGTGAAGAGGGAAAGCGCATTCAGGCAATTCACCAGGAAGGACAAATGGGCAACTGGGAGAAGGCTCTATCCCAAGACCTTGATTTTCCCCCTGTGGGGCTGCCCTGCACACTCTCACTGTGTCTGTAGCACGGCAAAGTATTAGTGACGTTCTAAGCAGTGCTTGCATGTTGAACAATTTAAAGCCATATTTCCTGGCGTTTCAAAAGGGAGTGATGGTTTATGCGATGCTGATGCTTTATGAATGGCTCCTGGTGTCTCGAAAGACTATCCTTCACTGGTCTTTTCTTATGAAGAAGGTCACGGTACTGTGGGGCAGAGGTGGCCATCGTTTTGAAGTTCTTTTCTTCTCTTGGAAAACGGGTCCCCGACACCGTGGAGGCTCTGAATGGCACCCCCCTCCCAGGCCTCCCTCCCGGAGGGTGTCCATCTGGGCTGTGTGCACAGCATATCCTGACCTTTGGCCCTGGACTACTTCCCCCTCGGCCAAGTGGGGAGCTTCCCTGCTGCCTTTCTAGTGACAGGAATTCAGAGGCAGCAACACAGGTGGTGAAAGCCACCCCCGATGGATGAGTTTTCAGCACACAGGCATATCAGGTCCAGCAGCAAGCCACTTTTCAGTTACCCTGAGATAGGATGTTGGGCTTGTGTCTTGTCACACGACGCTGTAGCTTTCTCACACTTGGGCAACCCATGTTCGCCATAACCCAGAGAAATGCCTTGGAGACTTGTGAAGCCATGTGCGTGGGCATCGTTTCACTCCAGGCAGTCCCTCCAAAGTCTACCACAAAGCTGCCTTTGAGGGTGTGGTCTTCGATTTCATCAGGTCTCTCCCCCTGGAGGACGGCTGTCACCTGCAAAGTCCCTGGCTCAAGGGACCCACGACTCCCGCTGTGTCCTGCTCAGGCTGCTAGAGACTCACTCTTCTGAAAGCAGCCTGGACACTTGCCTGAGATGTTGCCAGAGCCGTGTGCCCGTTTTTTAAAAAACACAACAACATCGCATTTATCCTGAAGATGTGCAAACCCTCCTGTTGCTGTCCAATTCCATTAGTTTTATTAATAATTTGCTTTTAGAGAACAAAAGGACTTATTTTTGTATTTTGTGCTAATCTCTTGGCAATTACGGAGCTGTCATTTTATCTCTGTCAGTGACAACTGGGTGTCAGAAATGATTGATTCACTCAGTGTGTTGCTGATTTTAATTTGTTTACCATTGGGACAACAGTAGCATAAAGACAGTTTGGAATTTTCCTGCCACTTAAAAAACAAATGTAATTATTTTGCTCTTAGAGGGGAGAATATCTCTGGGGACAGCAACCTGGTCCTCACCTGAGTCACCGTCTTCCGCCAGAGAAGACGCTGTCTGTGAGGCCCTGAAGTCTGTCAGAGGCTCGATCTTTTGAACCAGACAGGGTGGAAATGCCTGGTGTGATCACATCTAGAAACTTCTCTTTTTTTGAGCCAAGGTCCCACTCTGTCACCCAGACTGGAGTGCAGTAGCATGATCACAGCTTGCCGTAGCCTTAACCCCTTGGACTCAGGCATTCCTCCTACCTCTGCCTCCCCAGTAGCTGGGACTACAGTGCACCACCATGCCCAGATAATTTTTTATTTATTGTAGAGACAAGGTCTCACTATATTACCCAGACTGGTCTTGAATTCCTGGCCTCAAGCTGTCCTTTCACCTCAGCCTCCCAAAGTGCTGGGATTACCGGCATGAGCCACCATGCCCAGCTATAGAAACAGTTTTATATTAAAACCACAAGGGGAAAGCGTCAGAAACAAGGAAGACACCCATAGCCAAGCATCTGAGATGGGGAACAGACACGCTGTTTATTATTTCAAGGCAAACAGTAGAAGGTGACTCCAGGGAAAAACACTTTATCAGATGTAACAGTGAGTAGCTTTTTTTAGTTTTTAGAATAAATAGTAATTAAACCATGAAAGCTGTGACAGTGAAATTGCTTTAAAAAGCCAATCCTCCCACCATAATTGCTCCGATACCCACATTTTTATAAATACTGGGTAACTTTATCCGCAGCTTTTATCAGTAGAATGTGACACTGGTGGTGGGTGCTTCATGATTTACTGCGGCATTAGGTGATAGTTACAGAAACTCATGTATAAAAATGCATGAATGTGATCACATGAGCACACAGCCACGGATATGTCTGTCTCTACAGTGGTGTTACAAATGACCGTGGTGCTAGCACCTTTAGGAGGGGCTGGCCATTCTGGTATTCTGGTGCCTAATTAATGTTTTGGAAGCAGAGCAAGGTGCAGTACAGCATCCATAGACTGGCTGCCTTCAGCTCTGTTTCCAGTTCCCATAGAAAGCACAGGTGGGGAGAGGTCTACCCATCCTGCCCTGTTCTGCTCCACCAGCCCACCCCTCAGTGACTGGCAGGCAGCAGGTCTTGCTTTGTGATAACAAGGATCAGAACCGCAGCAGAGCCACAGCGGATGGTCTCTAAACACCAGTTCTCTTTCGTTCCTTCTCTGCACTTAGCCTTCTCGGGGTGGGAAATAGATCCATTAGAGATCTTAAAGTCTACACCGGCAGGCAGAAGGTTTACACATGGCAGGAGTGGGGGGGAAAGGGAGTATTTTTCAGACAGTGAATACCCACATGCTGCTACCAGACTCTGGGCAAATTCAAAGGTAACAGCAACAGAGGAGAGATGCATTAGCGGAATCCCAAGGCAGCTGTGTCTTAGAATGGACGTGCAGTGTGGCTGTTTTTTCCTCCTGTTTTTAAGTCTTTCTAGCTAATTCACTGGGGGTTGAAATAAAGCTTTCTCAGAAGGCCAAGAGTCCTTGGAATTGTGGTGTTTCTGCTGCTCGTTGGGGCCCTGCATAGTGACTGCAATTGTTGCCTTTTGCCAATCAGGCCACCCTAATGGTCTCCCCCCTCCTTTTGCAGTCAAGTTCAGCAGCTGTTTGGGAACCAAGGGGACGCAGTATGAGACCAACAGCATGGACTTCAAAGTCGGGGCAGACGGGACTGTCTTCGCCACCCGGGAGCTGCAGGTCCCCTCAGAGCAGGTGGCATTCACGGTGACCGCGTGGGACCGCCAGACGGCTGAGAGATGGGATGCTGTGGTGCGGCTGCTGGTGGCTCAGACTCTGTCCCCACACTCCGGACACAAGGTAAGGTGTGGCTGCACGGATCTGTGCCCGGGTTTCGATGTCTTTCTCTCTCTTGAAGAATGGAGAGTCGGCCCCTCTATGGGCTGTGCCGGTCAGATAATGCTGGTGCCATCCAAGGCACCCCTGATCCTTGTGTGTCCTGCAGCAGGACTGCCATCTTGGGAAAGCGCCCTGGGCAGGCGCACAGCCTCCGGGCTCAAGCCATGGCACTGTGCTACCATCTTGATGTTTTTCATCGTCTTTTCAAAGAGAGGACCCAGGTTTTCATTTCAAAGTGGGCACTGCAAATACTATAGCCTCTCCTTCTTCCCAAATTGTGTAGCCCACCAGCCTCAGGGGGCTCTCAGACCCTGGAGGAATGAGAAAGATGAGAGGCCACAGGGTTGGCTGTGAGTTCCAACCAGAGGAGGTTGGTGCCAGAGAAATTCAGAGGTGGGGGAGAAAGGGTGGGA